CAGCAGGAAATCAACTCTCCCTCCTTACGGGGCAAATGGCAGAGCATCTTTTCTCTTACAGCCTTTCTTTCTACATTATATAGTGATACCTCTGTATTTGTTTTTGGCCTCCAGTGGATTATAAACTCTTTGGGGCAGAATATATGTGAATTTCATTTTTGCAATCTCTACTGCACCTGGCAGAGACTAGAAGCTCCATCCAAATGTGTCGAATGAATGAATGATCCCTACTGGCAGGTAGCTACTGGGTGGGGTTCCTTGGGGTTCTCTTTGCCCAGAGGATTTCCCACTTTTCAGATTCCTCTTAAAGCCCATTCAGTCCTTGGACCTTCTGGTCTGCTGTGTGGACCTGCCTGCCTGCTCCCAGGCAGAAGGTTCCATAACGTAGCTGGTGTCCTTCCCCGAGGAGCCACAGTTGCTGAGCTTGACATGCAGCTGGGGAAACGGAGTGAGGGCTGAGGCCCTGACCACTGGCGCTGAAGGAAGCCTTACCGAGCCCAGCTGCGTGATGGTGTTGATATAGTTCTCATCTTTCTCCACCTTCTTCCGGAAGCGGATCGTCTGCTCCAGTTCCAGGGGGTTCACATCCTTGGGCCAGCCCCCTTCGATGTGATTAACTCCCCGGGTCTCCATTTCAAACCGCTCTGTGTTGGCCTAAACAGAGAGCCACAGGTGAGAAGACGCCTGGCGCGGGTGGAAGCATCCGACCACTTCTGGAAACCAGTGTCCCAGGGCTCCCGGGTCCCTGGGCTCTGAGTGCTCAGGGATGGAGCCGTGCGGTGCCCCTGGCCAAAGCCACTATATTTTTAGGTCCAGCAAGGAACTTTCTGGTCCTCAGGTGGTCACAGGCAGCCACAAAAGTGTCACCCCTGTGGAGTTAGCAGCTTTGCAGATGCTGCCAGTGGCTATGGAAAATCCAATTCTGACCTGATCTCAACCCTAAACGTCCAGAGGAGCCCACCCATCGGCTCTGTGAGATCCCAAAGGAAAATGTGACTAAGCTTTCTCCACCCTACCATTTACGATGTCACAGGAATCGAAACATAAAAACAATTAAGAGTGTGGACTTGCTGTGCCCATCCTCCGTTGTAGGGAGGATGACATAGATGTAGTTTTACCCCTTAAACTTACCTCTTTTCCTCCTTCCCCCATCTTTCCCCCCATCTTTTAAATTGTGGTAAAATACACATGACATAAAATCTACCATTTTGACTAAAATGTACAAGTTAGTAGCATTAAGAACGGTCACCATGTTGCGCAATCATGATCACTAACTATCTAATTCCAGGGCTTTCTCATCACTCCAGATGGAGACTCCATACCCATTGAGCGGTCACTCCCCTTCTCCTTTTCCTTTTTAAGCCAGTTCTCACAAAAGCTAAAAGTTTCAACAGGGTGGAGCTGCTGACAGAGGAGACCCCGATGTGGTGTGGCCTTCATGGCCGCCATCTTGTTTAGGTGGCTACACTGTGAACAAAACCACCCTGGTCCCCATGACAGCAGCTTGCCCTGGGAAAGCAAGAAACTCAGTTTGTTTGAACTGTGAGTTATTGGAGCCATCCACAAAGGGTTTTGGCCAAATCAGTGTGATTTTCACTCCGCTGATCTGGGAACATGACAGTTGTGTTAACCCCTTCAGTCTAATTTTCTCCCAGCAGTTCTTGACATAATCAGGAGATGATCACTTGGTTCAGACAGACCAGGAGAAATCTGGGAGCTTGGACAGCAACATGACCCTCAGTTCCTTTATCTTGGAGGCACCTCTGACCAGCACTTTCTATGGGACCCTTTCCTTTTCCCAAGCTAAGCAGGTCCTGTAGATGTGAATCCCTGGCCCCGTCAGATACCTCTCCCAGATGTACCCAATGCCTAAAACAACTCTAGTAAGAGTCTTAGAGGTGAGGCCAGAGCCCCTGGGAGAGAACATTTTGATTTGCATTCACCCGGCCCAGGGAGTGGTTGGTACTGGGCTTTGTCCTGACCCTGGGCACCGACGTGGGTCTGGGAGCGATTCTGCCCTCGTACTTCCAGCATCCTCACTGGTCCACTCTAACTGGCTTCCAGGGGGATGGAGTCACCCAGTCCCACTTGCCTGCCTTGGCCAGCCACCCTGCCGGACCACACCTCCACTGGCCCGGGCCCTGGGGCAGGGACCCACCTCGTGTTCCGACATGCTAGTAGAGCACTGGATGCCCTTGTCCACGGGGTTCCGCTCCACGAATTGCTCGGCCAGCTCAGGGTTGGGCGGTATGTCGACGTTCAGCTCTGCCTGGCGGTCAGAGAAGTTGCATTGCTTCCCGAACTCGCTACGCTTCTTGACATACACGTACACAACCTCCATGGTACCAGCTGCTGCAGGAACAGAGGGAGGGTGTGTGGTGAGGGGCCCCAGCTGGCTGCTTCCCAGTCCCCACGGACCCTACCACCGGGGGCAGCTCCAGGTTCCCAATCTGGTTGGGGGGAGGGTTCCTAACGGATTTATCCGGATGCTGCATCTGCATTTGAAAAAATAATTTATGGAGTGATGACTACAGGCTAAGCATCATCTTGTTCAGTTCTTACCGTTGCCCTTTGAAGTGGACAATAAAATCACCGTTTTACTTTGGAGGAATCTGATATTTGGAGATACCCAGAATGCCTTGCTCAGGATCACATAGCTCACATGTGGTACAGCTGGTCTACCTGACTCCAAAGCTCTTACTCACCAAATGACACAGTTTCTGCTGAGCTAGTATGCTTATTGAGAGGCAGGAAGAAATACTAATGGCGATTATGTTGAACTAAATTCCCTGCCACACACTGGACCTAATCATACAGCATACAGATTTGAGCCCCAGGCCTCTCTGGAAACCCTCCCATCCAGCCACGTGATTGCCAGAAAGGCTCACCCACTAGGTTACTGGATTCCACCCTCCATCACCCTGTGGGAGCCCCACTGAAACCTCTTCCCTCCACGTCACTCCAACGGGGACAGGGCTGGGAGTCCAGCTGAGAAGGAGAGAGGGTCAGACCCCTTCCCAAGCAGGCAAAATAGTTAGGCCTTTGGGAAACCCTCTGACTTGTGCTACTGGTCATAAAAAGCACAGTGGGAAATTGAAAAGCAGGCTGGGTTGGACCCTGACTTCAAGTTCTGGCCCTGCCACTCACCAGCTGCTTGACCTTGGCTGGGCCACCCAGTCATTCCAAGACTTGACACACTTAGGATGCCGAGAAGGTGAAATGCAAGATCTCGGGCAGCAGCAGAGCCAGGGTTCAAATGCAACGCTAGGAAATGCTTTCTCACTCATGCTAACTGGAAGTCTCAGACAGGCCGTGGGCCCTTCCCACGAATTGCTCTCGACTTGCCCCAAAAGACAAGATTAAGAAAATAAAGAGAGGGCTTCCCTGGTGGTACAATGGTTAGGAGTCCGCCTGCCCATGCAGGGGACACGGGTTCGAGCCCTGGTCCGGGAAGATCCCACATGCCGTGGGGCAATTAAGCTCGTGTGCCACAACTACTGAAGCCCGCGCGCCTAGAGCCCGTGCTCCACGACAAAGAGAAGCCACCGCAATGAGAAACCCGTGCACTGCAACGAACAGTAGCCCCCGCTCGCCGCAACTAGAGAAAGCCCACGTGCAGCAATGAAGACCCAGTGCAGCCAAAAATAAAAAATAATAAAATAAAATAAATAAATTTATTTTTTAGAAAAAGAAAATAAAGAGATAAGCTATAGACTTGGAGAAAATATTTGCAAATCATATATCTGGGGAAGGACTGTGTCCAGAATATCTAAAGACCTACCAGTTCCCAGCTGCTGTGAACAGCACTTACAGGCACTCTCATTGCATGCGCACTACAGCACCCCAAATAGGTATCACAATTCTCATTCTACCGGTAAGGAAAATGATGTTCAGAAAGTACCTGGTCAAAGGTCAAAGTTCTTAAGTCTAAACAGAGCCAGGACCCACACACATTCGGCTCCAAAGCAATGATTCTCAACCCTGGCTACCCACTTAGAAACACCTGGAGGGCTTTGTAAAAATCACAATGCTTCGGTTGAACTGCAGATTAACTAAATCATAATCTCTCAGCAGTGTTTTTACAAATGCCCCACGTAACTCCAGCATGCAGCCAAGGGTGAGAACCACCGATTTAAAGTGAGGGTTCTTACCGCAGTGAGAAGCCCGTGCACCACGCAAGAGTAGCCCCCGCTCGCCGCAAGTAGAGAAAGCCCGCGCGCAGCAGCAAAGACCCAACGCAGCCAAAAATAAACAAATAAATTAATTAAAAAAATAAAGTGAGGGCTCTTAATCTCTCAACCAACGTTTCTCGCCTCTGGGATGTCCATTCAAAACATAGAGATTCCCAGGCCCCCTCCTGCAAACACTGATTTACATGTGTGAGAGGAGGCCTGGCGACGTGTGTTTTACACAATCACCCCAGAGGACTGTTAGGGCCAGGTATGTGTCTGACTCCACCTCCAGGGCCTCAAAGGACCAGACAGGTGGGTCCCGGCTGCCCCCTGAGACGCAGGGCCAAAAGCTGTGTGACAGCCTAGAAGCACGTGCCTGGGACCAGGCCTCAGGGCGACGAGGGTGCGAGGTTAACTCCTAGGTCCCTTTGCATCCACCTATGTTGTTCCTTGAAGACAGTACCACCCTCCCAACCGCCCAGCCCCAGCCCCAGAACAACTCAAACTGCACCAGACTCACAGCCGTATTTCCCGCTCTTTCTTGTGGTTTGGAAACTCTTCTGCCCAGGAAGGGTAAAAGCAATGGCTTGGAGAACAGAGGGTGGGGACAGAAGCACAAATTACAGTAGGTTGCCCTCATGGGTCATTTGACACGGACAAGATAGAGCCTCGTGAAAAAGGATGCACATCCAATTAGCTTCTACCTGTCCGCCCGCACGCACACTGCCGACGTACAACAGGGCTGCACCTGTGCCCCTTCCCTCCCCACCCCCTCCCCCAAGGACTGCCAGACTCCGGCAATTACAGGCTGCCTGTCTCTCCCTCTGTTAAAAGATAATTGCTGCGAGACAGCTAGCTCCTTGGGGACACGAAGGGTCTTAAGAGCATGAGGAAACCCCAGGAAGACAAAAATATCCTCTTTAGTCCAGGTCATATCTTTCACAGCTTTGCTTTCCTTCTTGGTGCTTCCTAAGGCCAAGCTAGGAGCGAGAACAGAGGCATTGTTCTCTATCTGGAGGCAGACAGAGGGGACATTTCAAGGCTGGCTGGGTGATGGGAAGACAGCTCATTCAAGGACCCAGAGCGGGCTCTTTCTCGCAAGCTGGTGGAGCGTGAACATGAATGGTGAGGTCAGAGCGGGGGTCTCAGGAGGTCTCTTCCCGCCCTGCTGAGACAAGTCTCAGAGGCTGGGCGGCCCCAAGCAGTGCCTGAACGGGGCTGTCTGCAGAGGGGGCTTCCAAGGAAGGCGGGAGCAGCAGCGATGCCCTCTGGGAGTTCAGGCGAGGAGATCGCCCACCCGTGGGAACCTCAGACCCACAGGCCTCTCAAACGCAAGAACGCGCAGAATCGGAGACGTGCCGATCTAAACGTCAAATATGCATCCTGGGGCAGTCAGATCAGAACCTTAACCAAACATTAAAAACAAAACTAGTCTTGTGCAGTGATAGCGAGCAAAGTAATATCTGGAAAAGAACTTCCTTTGGCTTAAGAGAAAGTGTGTTTCCCAAGCAGGGAGACGAGGGAGTGGAGGGTGGCTCAGAAGTTCAGTGCGGGGTTTTTGCGGGCAGGCAGCGGG